GTCTCAGAAGATCATCAGAAGATCACTCTTCACAAGATCTCTCTTTTGAATTGAGTGTTTATAATGCCTCACACATTTATACAAGTTGCCTATTGGCCTCTCAGCAAATGCATTAATACTCAGATACATATTTTAAATGTGTGTCCATTCTCCACATATGTAGTAATAAAATCTGACTCAACTAATTTTGTTGAAGAAATGCAGATGCCTTATTTAACGTGGCCACATAACAGGGCTTATAGCCTAAGGCATGCAGATTTCACAAGCTGCCACATTGTGCAAATTTTAGGATCAATGCACACATTTCTTGAAGAAACTATTTTTAAATCAACAGCTGGTATGCATGCAAAACATGTCTTGGAATATCTGATGCTAAAATTAATAATAATAATAATAATAATAATAATAATAATAATAATAATAATAATAATAATAATAATAATAATAATAATAATAATAATAATAATAATGTTTATTGAGTCACATACACATTACAATCGTGATATGGACAAGTCCATATGCATGCCTTGGGTGGACGAAGAGTGAGTAGCATTACGTTCAGGTGCCAAAGAAGGGCCATTTTTAGCCATCTCAGCATTTGCTTTAAAGGACCAGGGAAACTGACAAAACCTGATCGAGATGGGGTCATTGGCCCTAGAAATACAATACATTGTGGTAGTAGATAAGATATTATACATAGATAAATAATTTACTAATAATAAACATTTCAAAATGTCTATGTTAATGCTACTACTATAATTAATAATAATAAGAATTAATAATAATAATAATAATAATAATAAATATAATAATTACATTAATAATAATAGTAAGTACGTTCATATTTATAACTTGAAATGGTGAGGAGGCATGTTTTGCCCAGTTTTTTTTCATTCATCTTTTCTCCTTCTATTTCACAGTGATGCCGATATGCCAGTCTTTTTTCTTTTCTTCATCTTGAGACAGTTTACATGGGAAAAAGAAAGTCTAATTGGGATAAGAAATTCTATTTATTGATATTTTTTAAGAGAAATGTTGTAATTTGAAAATCCTTTACAATGTAGGACATGTTGTTAAGCAGGAAAGCTTTCAATTTGGGATATCATTGCCTAGTTTGTTGTAAAGGTAAGTCCTCTATTTAGTGGTACTGTTTTGAGAAGTGTGTTTCAGCGAGTGGGCGAGGCGTGAGGTTATCCTTTTGACAGGTGTTTATAGTTGTTTACAATCAGAATTTAAAGTAAAAGTGTCTTTGTTTCCATGAAGAATGTTCTTTGTGAAGACCACTATTATCAAGATATTACATAGCATGGGTTAGAGGAACGAATCTTTAGTTTATTAAACAAGGGTTTGCAAGACTCCAGGTTATGAGTGCTAGGTCATTGGTTCTCGAATATTATTTTTGGAAATAAATGGGCGAGTGCTTCAGGAGGTTTTTTGCCTTGATGAGGATGTTTGTTTCATTCTGCCGAACAAAATTATTTTGTTGTCCTTTAAAGCCAAAGCAATGTCATTTATGTATATTAAGGTAATAGTATTGGCCCAAGGATGGATCCTTGCGGGACTCCACATTATTATTTGAGGAAGACAGGAAGTAAGTATGAGGAGATTTTGTTTCTTTAGATGTTGGAGAGGTAACTAATTTTGTCTACGGTTTTGATAAAATATGATTTGATCATTGGCCGCCAATAGCCTCGAAAATCCCTAGCATTTCTAGTTTCTTAAAAGATATATGAAGGTCAAATGATGTCAAAGGCTTAAACTTGACAAATCTAAGAAGAAAGCGCCAAGTGGTGTAATTTGCGTCTTAGTGTGATTTAGGCAAGCAACTAGTGCCTCCATTTGAAAAAGGAGAAGATGGCTGTGTCTGTGGTATTTATTCTTGCTGCTGGAACCGATGTTGTGCATTTTATAACGTGACATTAGTTTGCATAATAAGAAGAACTGTTCTGAGTCTAGTCATTGAAAAAGCTTTCCAGAATTTTTAGAAAGTACGATCCTGATATAGGAGATAGCTCTCTGTATGTTCATTGATTCATAACTATGCCTCTTTAGTTAAACCATGATTGGATTTAATGTGTAGATGCCTGTTTTGATATATCTGGCGAATATGCTGATTTTAGGAGAGTAATTGCAGATGTGAGGAGGCGTTGACAGCGATATACAGTCCAGCACGTGTTTTATAAAAATCTGGGAATGTTGTCATACCTGCTGAGGAATTTATTCTCCATTTGTCCAATGATTTCAAAAATTTCAGAGAGGTGGTTTCATTATAAAAATAGACGAATTTACAATTGTGGTAATATTAGTGTTTGTTTGAGTGATGAGTTTTTATTGTATATCTAAGAGTGTCTGAGAAGAAATATAACTAATTAGCTATTGTGATAAAATGTTCATATCAGCTATTTTTGTGGTCTGCTACACGTTTCTGTTTTGTAGTGGAGCTCTATGTTTTTTTTGTATATGATTAGTTGGTGCTGCTAGTCTTTTTAATAATGTCCCACAATACAATAATTACTATATACTTATATATATTTCTCTAGTCAAATTTTTACTTCCTTTGCTGGCGGATATTTATTTTAACATTTGAATAAAACCGCGTAATCTGATTCTGACTTAATTCTAAATATGAAAACCAGAATTTATGTTCCTTCTTAGTATCAATTTTCAGAATAACGATAAACACACCTAAAAATATGAATAATATTCCTGAGGAAATTTGCCCCTGAAAAGCACTGGCACATTGACTATATTCCCAAAAAAGATAGATTGCGAATCGATGAATACCAGCTACTCATAAACCTGTGATGTCTTGGCAATACCCTTGTTTAAAAATAAACTAAGGATTCTTCCTTACCATGCATGTAAGCAATATTAATAGTGCGTCTTCACAATGAAAATCTATTATGATAGGAAAACCCAAATGACACTTTTTAACTCTTAAATTCTGATTACACAACTATAACACCCGTCAACAAAAGAAACCTTATATAGCTCTACACGCTCCCACTCCTAAAACAGCACTTTAATCAAAAAGATATGACCCTAATAGAGGACATTACTAAACTTTACAAACAAACTAGGCAATGATATCAAAATTGAGAGCCTTTCCGCTTAACAAACACTTTCTACTTTTATGTAAAGAGATATTATACAAATAATAACAAACTTTCTCTTTAAAAAATATAAATATAAGATTTCTTATCCAATTAGACTTTCTTTTCTATGTAAACTGTCTTCAAGATGAAGCAAAGAAAAAAGAAACTGCGCATCATCTGTGAAATAGGAAGGAGAATAGATGAAAGAAAAAAACTGGTTCAAAAAGTTGCCTCTACTCACATGTTCAAGTTATAAATATAGAACGTACTACTATTATTATTATTATTAAGTAGTATCAGCATTAACATAACATATTGAAATGTTAATTATTAGAAAATTATTTATCTACTGTATAATATCTTAATCTAACTACAACAAGTATTGTATTTCTGGCCTAGAAATACAATATGAAATACAATATAAATACAAATGACCCCATCTCGATCAGGTTTTGTTCAGTTTCCCTGGTTCTTTGAGCAAATGCTGAGATGGCCTAAAAATGGCCTTCGCTCCTGAACAGTAATGTAACTTCGCTCTCTCCACCCAAGTCATCATATTGACTAGTCATACATGATTGTAATTGTATATGTGACTCAATAAATATTATTACTATGATTTGTTACTGCTCTCTATTCTAAGAGGATTTTTGAACCTTGTTGCATTAATGGAGATTAAACGCCCTCACTTCACTTTGCTCACATCACTTTGTAAGAATGTCAACGGGCTCTACATGGGCTTGTCATGAGGTCATGTTGACAGAAAGGCTTGAAACAGTTGTCTTCTTTAATCAGGATTGTAAACAAACTGTATAGTTAAGAAAAACAATAATCAGCAAAATTTTATTTTTCTCTATTGTACTTTTTCAACGTTACCTTTTATTTAATTTATTTTATTTATTTTATTTTATTGAATTTTGTCAGTGTATAAGCTAATAGACATTCTTAGTTCAAGGAGGTTGGAGAACTGGACCAAAGATATTTTCAAATTTGTTGTAGTTTAACAAGAAAAGTATCATGTTATTATGAAAGTATTTTAGTTACTAAGTATGTATTGATATACTTCTTTATAAATTATCATAAAAACCTTTTCAATTAGATACACAGTTGTTATTTTAGGAAAACAATATAGTCAGGGCTGATCCTGAAGTTTGCAAGACATTTGAAGTTTCAGTTGAGGGTCTTTTTTCCAGTATTTTATTAGTGTCTTTTGTGAACCTTGTTTTCTTTATTATTTGTTTTATGTTGTATAATTTTCAATTAGCTAAATTATATTCATATTAGAGTTAAAAACCTGTTCAATGCGAAACATTTCATTCCAGGCAAAATAACAGTTTTGTAAACCTTCATTGAGATATCATTGTATGCATACATGTATAGCATAAAAATGAAATTGAAATTAAGAAGCTCTTGAGGTCTTATTGTCTGAAACTGTAACTAAAAAAAATAATTTTAAACTCATTCAAGAGTGCTGTCATTTAGTATGTAGTAGAACTTATATTATCTGAATTAAACAGGAATTGTGCTGTTTCAGATATCAGAAAATTGGGAAATTTCAGTTATTAAGTAAAAAAGTAAAAATATAGAAAAAACTTGCTTTCAATTAATCAAATAAAGATTAAAAAACATAAGATTCAGAAAACTAAAAAACTTTAAGATTTATTTATAAAAGAAACTCTAGATTAAATTTGGAGAGAAGGTTCTTTATATACATACTATATATTGTCATTTTTTGTTTTTCTCTTTTGTCTCCAATGTTTATTTGGATAATTGGAAATTTGTGTAATTGGACTTCTACTGTAGGATTATTTTTTTATTTAATTAGTTGTAAAGTTAAGTTTTTGGGATTTATTTGTGCTTACATCTTCATGTGTGAATTAAAATACTATTTATTTTCTTTTTGTGCAGGCTCTTGACAATGTTGCATCTGCTGGAGCGTTTGAAGTGAGTACTGACTTTATACTGTATTATTTCACATCACATTGTCGTAAAAAAAGGGATTTTTGCAATCCTCATCTCTCTTCATTTGAATGAAACTGGGTATACTATTTCCACTCATAGTAAACTGACAATGTAAGGTTTGTGACTGAAATTTTTAGTTTGCATATTGCGTATCTTTAAAAATTACAAGAATTGCCTGTACCAATTTTCTGATGAATATTCCTCTATAAAGCGAGGAAATTTCCTAAAATTAGAGTGATTTCAAAGTGAAAATGTATTCTCTATTTGAAATGATGAGTAACTTCATCAATAAGTAAGAAGAAATATTAAATTGGTTGAGAGAGGGATTTCAGAATTGTAAGAGAAATGAGAAAGATACTGTATTGAAACTTCTTCTGTAAATGTTTTTCTTGCCAAACCCAAATTGGACTGGAATTTATTATATTTTTGTGAAAAATCTAAAGTAAAACTGTTCAGATCATGTGATTTTCAGATAGAAATAACAGAAACAGAGGCTCTTTCTTGCAACTTTTTAAGGGAATATATACAAATTAATGGTTTTTGTATCTCAATCTCAAAATTTCCTTTTTAAACCGAACAAAAATATGTTTTAGATAATGCAAGGGGGAATATCCCCTGTGTCTATTAAAGGGAAATACTTTCATAGGCAAAGGAAAAACAAAAATTTAAATGTTTATCACATGACTGATGAAACTTGTGAATAAAAAATGAAATCTGTAAAGCAAGGTTTTTAGAAGTATTTCCTTTATTGGATACACTTAAAGTTTTGTTTTTTCCTTCTTCTAGAAAGAGGTTATGCCCTAGCAAAACATGATTTCAAAAAGTGTTCTTCCCAATGTTAAAGTTAGACTTTAGACATTTCATTTCATTTTAGTTCTGTAGCAGATTTCTACTTGCAACCACTCTTTTGAATGGAAAAAGAATATTGCACATAAGAATTTATGGAAATATATGTATGTATAAATGTTGGTTGTTAGAGAAAGCAGGCTTGGCAACAAGATGAGGTTGTATTTAGCCACAGAACTCTTCAAGTACAGGTTAATTTGTAACTTTTGATCCTGTTTTAAAATCCAGATTTAAATTTTGTGGACAGTTTATCTACAAAATGTATATTTTTGTAACATATATTGCATTTTCTGCATGTTAATTTTGAAAGAATTCAAATTGTTTACCGTATTATTCACCCCAGCCAGGAATCATCCCAGGTTTATGTTCATGGACACTAACCAGGGAAACTTTTTTGAAATTTATATATTAACTTCTTTAAAATGCCTCAAAACCCTCATTTACAACAATATATGGAGATCTCCTTGAATAGTGGTACAAATCCAATTTTTAGACAGAAGTAAATTACATTTTAAGGTGAATGGAAGCAGTTTACTAAACGCAATCAAGGATCGTCAGAGATCAGACTGTTAATTACCTTGAGTTACATAGTATGTAGACATTTTGCAGTTCCTTGCAATTTTAAAACAATATTAATACAAAACTGAATGGCTACTGTCCTCATGTGCACAATGTTTATGTATATTAGGGGGCACCCATCTTGATAAATGTGGAACTATTGGACATTGTTGTAGATTTGGCATGGTATTATACCATTCTTGCATTTTTATGGACTATGTGTAATACTTTATCTAATATTGGCTACAACATTACATTGATTTTTATAGTTTTACAAACTCTCTGTAAATTTAGATACTTGATTTTGATAATCTTTTCCTTTTTCTATTGGAAAATGTTTTTGAGGATCTCTCAGAAGAATTAATGTTCATTAATCTGCGTAATCTGCTTTGGGTTATTATGTTTATCTATTTTCTTTGAGTATGGAACCAGAAATCTGTAGGTTTGTCAATTACATTTTTAAAATAGCAATCTCAGCCTGTGCTGATAAACATCACAATTCATGATTTTGAAGAATCTAAATGACTGAGTGTATAAAAATTATTTTAATCAAACAAAATACATATACAACCTTTTGAATCTGTGTCAACAAAGCTAGGAATTTGCCAATCGAGACAGCTGAGATCGGTACGGCAGTAATGCAGGAGCAGTTTCGGACCGAAGGTTGCGGATTCGAGTCCCACCTCAGGCATGGTTGTATTTACGTTCATCCTTCACCCCTATCATCAGCATCATATCATGTCATCTTCACAATAACCATAATGTTAAATCTAATAGTGGTCGCTAATGACCTAGATGTTGATGTGACCTGTAATAACCACATTAAAAGGCTAGGAATTTGTTGAGGAAATTCTATAGTAACATCTAAAACAAATTGTACCTATTTAAAATAGAACCTCTTTGAGTAATTGTAGTTATATAATTATTATATCTATAGCCAAAAGATTGAGGAAACAAGAATGACAGGTGTGAACTCCTAAATTGTTCTCTCAAAAGGCATTTGAATTCCAAGATCACAAATATGTACTTAAGAATTTTAAGAAGAGCACTTCAGTAGTCCTTTACTAATAAAAAAATCTTTTTAAAACAATAATATTCCCAGTTTTTGGTGTCCTTGAAATATTTCATTCTGTTTTAATCCTCCTTTATTTTAAAGAAAAATGTCACTACCCACATGCAAAATTAATGAAATTGTTCATTCCTTTAGTGCGAAGCTGATCATCAATGTGATAGTGGATACTGTTATTTGGAGACTGGTAAATGTGTGCCTTGCATTGATTGTGCAAGTTACTTGCGACAGACATCTCAGTGGCGAACTTGTGCCCGGGGGCCCCAAGACTGTGGAGAGTGTCTAGCAGGGTGAGTTTTATATCAATGTGCAGTTTATTGAGTTACTTCGAGCCAATTTGAGTATACAGTAAACACTCATTAGCATAAACTTGCTTAACACAAAATTCGTCAAGTGAACTAAATTTGGGTCTCGCCCAAGAAATGTAGTAATGAGGTCATATATAAAAGTCAGATATCACAAATTTTTATAACAAGAATATCAATTATTATAGTCCCTTGGAATTGGTGTTAATGAGGGTTTACTGTTTAATAACTTGGTCAATTTCAGCAATTTTGTTAGGGCTGAAGAGTTCTCAATTTGAAGTATCCAATGTAGAATACACTTGTACCTTGTTTATACAGAACTTCTTTAAATGGATTGTGGAACCTGCAGAGAAAATCTGGAATACTTGACTCAATTTTAAAATATGATTATTAATTTAAAATAAGGAAATTACTGTATTGCAGTATTTATTAACAATGTACAGATATTATATAGTGTCATGTTGAATAATGGTGCTTGATTAAAAGTAAATACTACTACTGTATATCTTCTTCTGTTATTATTATTGTTTTTATTTCTGTCTTTTCAAATGTGATAGTTAATATTAGCTGCTCGTAAGGTTTTATCTAGTGTCAGTACTAATCAGTTACATTGAACAGAAGTTATCTTCTTATTTCTCACATATGTGACATAGGACGATGTAGAACTCAGTTCATTACTCATTTGAATAAAAGTCCCCCGAGAGTGATTATGTTCTTCTTTCGTTTCTGATGATTTAATTGTATGAGTACTACACTTTTCTAGGAAACATTTTTAATAACAGTAATTTTTATTATACTTATTTCATTGACTTTCAGGTTTGAGTATGAATATCTGACTGATGGAACTGCTCGAAGCTTTTGTGTTCGCAAAAAGGAAATTGAATATGGAATATGGAATGGTAGGGTACTTAGTAAATCATAAAAATTTGCACATAAAATGTTGAAATTGAATAATTGTAACTTAAATGTACTATTTTATCCTTTTTCTTACTTTATAATCTACTATTCCTACTTTATTCGGTTTTGAATTTGAACAATTGAAATTACAATGTTTACTTCTTTCCCCCAGAGAAAAGTCCTTACTTGTGGATTATCATTGCCTCGTGTCTTGTGACATTTATTCTCCTTCTTGTGTTTGCAGTTCACAGATTTTACAAAGGTAAGTTAAAGAAATCAAGTGTTCTTTGCCTTGAGTTTGTTTGATGATGAATAATTAAATTAATAATGAAGTTAAAGCATAAAACATGTATAGTTACTTAATTATTTAGAAACTGTTATTTTACAATGATGACCAAATGATTGAAGGTGTTACATATGTGATCACAACATATTTTCACTTTATTTGAACCTTTTTACTGTTGTGTACTTTGCATGGTATTCTTCCTACAGACGAGTGAATCCTGAGGCTTCCCTTACTGTTCAGAATATACCACCTTGATGTTCTGAAACAAACTTAACCAAACCCTTTTCAATTAACAATTTTCAACAGATCACATTCTAACACGCAAATTTATTATTATATTTCTAAGAAAATAAATTTTCTTCTCCATTCAAATGTCATTTTGTCATGTATCATGTAAAAATGATCATTAATTGAAGAAGGAATTACAATTAAACATAAAAAGCAGTATCAAGAATGACTAATACCTCGAGAAAATAAGGACACAAAGGTAGCGATGTAATGGGATCATTCTGGTTCCAATATGAGAAGAAGTTGGAAATGTCCTAGGAAACTTTTGGAAAAGAATTGGAAATATTGAAAATTGAAACACTGGAAAATATCAATTATGTTCAAACATTAAGCATGTTCTCTCGCACACACATACAGATCAACTACAGTGCACAGGAATGTGGAGAGGCAAAGGAAACTCTTTCTAAATGAACAATTTTTGTGGACAATTTTATCACACGAATCTGGAGATCTTTGAGGTGTGGTATGATTAGGGTGGCTTACTGGGGATCTGCATTGGGCATGCACTCAAATGATTGCATCGAATTCGAGGTGTTCTAGTCTGATAATTCATAAAAAAGGTAAATTATTTATTAATAATAAATATATTAATTCATAAAATTTATAAATTAGTAAATTATTTAAAAATAGTAGTATTTGCTGGGAGAAAATTAAGAAAGCCCAGTTATCTTGATGGTTATTTTATATGGTTATTACATGCGAGTTAGCGAAGTGCTTGATTGTTGCACATTCATGAAACATGCTTGATACCTACAATTACTTATGTGTATTATTATTTTCATTGTTGGTATGCAAGTGTGTGACAATGCTTTTTTTTGTACTTTACTGAGAATTTTGCTCTTTTGATATAACAATTTATAAAATTGTAGCAAAAATTTATTGTAATTTAATGTCTACTCTACTGAATTTGTTTTTGTACTCTTAATAACAAAGATTCAGATATCCATAATTTTTAATTGTAGAACAGTAGAACAGTTGCTAACTTACCCAAAAGATTGTAAATATGATGGCTGCAATATTTAAGAAAATGGAGAAAATGTAAAGAATGAGATAAGTCAAATTCATTATGACAATCCTGTAGAAATTAAAAACTTAATAATGGAGTTCTGCCATTCTGATTTTCATGCAAATATGTCATTTTATTGCCTTTTAAACCTTGCATTAATTAAATTCATGTAGAAAACTATGCTATACTGCTAAAATATTTTATTCTTTTCAGAGTTATGAAGGGAAAAAACAAACAAAACAAAATACTAACCGAAAGGGTTAATTTGTAATTTATTATAGATTTTGTTTGCAAAGAATTCTAAAAATAATCTTTGTTTTGCTATAAAAATAAATTTAGATTCAATAGGGAGAAATATAGATAAACTAAATTAAAATATCATATTTATCTACAATGGGTGTTTGCTTAGCCCACTCATACAGATGTAAGCATTAACGAACTTAAGATTTACGAGTTGGTGATTGTGTCAAAACTATAAACAGTTTAATTTCTTTTCGATATTATATCACTGTGCTAATTTAATTACTGAAAGATTTTAATTATATTTCTGTGACAAGTGAAGATTCTGTTGATTTGAACTGTACGAGAATGGTGTATTGAACAGTTTTGAATTTGTATTCCAAATTTAATTTATTCTATATTTTCAAGACAAATTTTTGGTTAATATCATTTATCTACTGATTGTATTAAACAGTAGCAGCTTAAGTGGACAACAATCTACAGAACCACATTACCAAATTTCGTAGGTACTAGCTTTGAATCAATTTCGTAAGCAACTCACTTTCTCATTTTAGTATTGAATCTTAATTTTTTAATTTATTGAATACATATCAATCTTACACTTTCAAAATGTTAAGGTCACTGCTCGTTGCTCTAACCTGATTTTCTTGTATTTATTCCAATTTTATCAAGAACATTAAAACGCATTCGTGACATGGCAACTAATTGTTCTACTCTTTTTACTCACTACCCTCTCAAAGCCAACCTTCTGAAAGCCTTCAAAAACATAAACAGTAATTTAGATGAACATCCGAAAGTCGGAAGAGATCGTTCTCTATACAGACGGTTGGCTGCAAGTCGGCAACACTGTGAATCTTCCCAACCCTGCACCCGTGACTGCACAAAAGACACAGACACCATATCCAGTCGTAACTCAAAACAAATTTAGTGTTTTAGATTATGAAACAGATTTTCCTTGCCTTCCTGATCTTCACAACCCTCCACTGCCATCAAAAAATATATGCACAAACCAACGCAAATAGGCTAGGAAGCGCATCAAAACCAAAACATGTAAAGCTGCGCATCCTAACCCACTTGAAAACAAAGACATTCCCACTGAGCCTAAAAAACAAGTACTTATTTTAGCTGACAGCCATGACCGCCATCTTTCTTCCATTTTCAGTAGGAAGTTACCCTCCAACTACTCAGTCTCATCTATTTTTAAACATAACGGAAGGTTTGTAGATGTGTCTGCAGAGTTGGAGACCCACACAAAGACATTGACCAAGCAGGACACAGTCATTATCAAAGGAGGGTGGAATGACATTAATTTGGGCGGTAACTTTACACCTGAACAACATGTCAACAAATTACAATGTGCTGCCCAAAACACTAACATTGTAGTCTCGTCTCTGTCCTTCTGGTACAGCAGACCAACACTGCAGCGAGATTAAGCATGCAAATCAACAATTAAAATTGCAACTGAGAGAAACAAATGTTTGAAATGAATTTCCTCTCAGCAAACACTTCACCCTGCATGATCTCCACATGAACCTTGCTGAATAACATACAGTTGGCAACAAGCTTGCACAACACATCATCTACTGCAGTCCTACGCAGTTTCCTGCCAAAAATCCATCCCATTCACCTTCGTTACGATCTCCACCCCCACCCTTATTTTGAACCCACTTTCCTCCTCCTCTGATCCTTCTCTCGTTTCTCCCACTCCCACTACCAATTCTCCTACACCTGATGCCTCAGTTTCCTCACAACCTGTCGCTGCCGGGACACACTACAACCTTCGACCACACACTCGAGGTAAAAATGGAGTAAATATATAGCAACTACTGTCAGATGCTGTAGAAAACATCTGTGTAGGTACTTTCAAAAGGTAAACATACTGCACCATAATGTTCAATCCCTTTCAAATAAAACTGAGTTTATCGAAGCAGATCTACAGAGGGATTTAAATCAGATGGATGTACTTGGCTTTACAAAACATTGGTTATTTGATAAAGAACTTAGCATTTTTCAAATTCCAAACTTTTTCTTGTAGGATATTATTGTAGAGAAAAAGAATCACATAAAGGTCCTGCATATGGCAGTTCTTGTATTTCCATTCAAAATAATATCGATACTATTTCCTTGATGGAGTTAAATGTGTATTCCGTTGAAAATGTGTTTGAAATATCTGTAGTACATCTTCCTACGCTAAAAGTTATATTACTTTGCATCTACAGGCGTCCAACAAAGAGAGCAGTAGATTATATTATGTTCTTAATAAAAACTGGAAATAACACTAAACAAAGTCACCGATTGCTCTTTTGAATCCTTTGTTGTATGTGGAGATTTTAACATTGATTTACTGGTCGAATAGTGCGAGAAAGAGCAGTTTATCAATTTAATTCATTCCTTCAGTTTAGATATTACAATAAATGCACCTACACAGATCACACTAAATTCAAAGGAGGCAATCGATCAAATAATAATTAACAAAACCACTATTCGATTTGAAATTGAAACACAAAGATTTAGGATACAGTGATCAAGATACACAAATTCTTACCATTATAAGAAATGTGAACACTGACACAATAAATAATACACGTATGAGTAGATTATTTACTAAAGGTAAAATAAAATTTTAGCTCCAAAATTTTAGGCATGATGTTTGTTTCAGAAACTTCTTCCCATGAAAATAATCTGTAGACTAAAAAATAAATATTAGGACGGTTTAGATGAATTTCCAGATTGTTTGTTAAAGGCTTTCGTGCCTGCCATTGTACACCTGTTAACTCATATATTTAATGTATCCTTATGCACAGGAATTTTTCCAGATATTTTTTAAACACCTAAGCCACTTTTCATAAAAGGCAACAATTATCGACCAATTTCTCTTTTGTCGATTTTTTCAAAAAAAGACTTTATTATGTACGAATGGAAACATTTCTTAGTAAACACAGCATGTTTTCAGATTGCCAACATGGGTTTCAAAAATCAAAATCTGCAGAAAAAGCCATTTTCTTTTCTTAAGGATGTCCCCTCATCCATGGATCAAAATGAAGCACCTATTGGAATATTGCTAGATCTTTCAAAAGCCTTTGACGCCATCGATCATAGCATTTTACTCTCAAAATTACCTTTGTATGAAATTCATGGTGTTGCTCTAGATTGGTTATGTTCTTACCTTAAACTACGATCTCAGAGAGTAGAAATACCTTACTGGAATAATGGAACATTATGTGCACACCTTTCTGATTCTTTGCCAATTGGATGTGGAGTCCCGCAGGGGTTGATTTTAGGCCCTATTCTCTTCCTACTGTACGTAAACGATATCAATGATTAGTAATGGAAGAACAGTTCTCTTTGCGGACGATATGAATATTCTGTGCAATAAAGAAACTAAATAGTACAATATCTGATATTTCAAATTGGTTTCGTAATAACAAATTAATAGTGAATGAAAAGAAAACTGTTTCAATGCAGTTTTCCATTTCAAGCAAACAGCTCGACACTTCACTGAAAATGCACGGTGTGCCATTGACTGATGTTAAGGTAACAAAATGTTCAGGCCTTTCAATTCAGTCAAACCTTAAATGGAACGTCCATTTAAATGAATTGAACACTAAATTAAGTTCTTTATGCTATGCTTTCAGAATTCTTTTAAATTCAGTCAGCCGACACACTGCTTGTTGTGTATATTTCGTGAATGTTCATTCCCACCTGAGATATGGCATAATATTCTGGGGAAATACATCTTATAGCTCCCAGACTTTTAGATTAAATAAACGAATTGTACGAATAATAAGCAAATCCCACCCTTGTGATTTTTGTTAGCCTCTCTTTATTAATTTAGGTATTTTACCATTATCTTGTCTCTTAATATATGAATCAGTAGTTTTTGTCAAAAATGACTTACTTAAGGGCTGGAATATATTTTCAGCAAACGCCGTTGTCTATAACTGCAACACTCGACATAGTAATCATATTCATCAGGTGACAGTATCAACAGTACAATACTAAAGATTCACATATAATATATGTACATTATATTACAACTCCTTGCCAATTACATTAAATGATTAATTTCGATACAAAAGTTTTAAGTCCCAAGTAAATTTTTTCTGCTGCACATCTGTTTCTGTACAATAAGAGACTATACTGAGCATCCAAAAGGAAAGTAATATTAATTTTTAAAATGACATTTAATGTATTTTATATCATTTGGATTGCATAATTGTAAAGAACCTGTAACAAGTATTGTACTTCAGCTTCTGGATCAATGTCCCCCAATTTGATCAGGTTTTTGTCGAGTTTCCCTTATCCTCGAGCAAATGCTGAGATGGCCCCTTATCGTTATGATGTCTTTTTCAACCTTTTTTCATTATACACTATTAAATATTATTTATTTAACTTCAAAAAATTGTGCAAGATTAAAGGAAAGGAAAATGTTGATTCCTGGCTGAAAACTTACAGAATTATTATGAGTGTATGACTGTGCTTGGGAGTAGAGTCATGTCATTTTGATAGGGCTGTAACATTGATATATCAAATACATGTGTTGTGATTTTTCAAAAAATTGGCTATCCAATATTGAATGATTTCCTTAATTACAGGAGTTAAAGCAAGGTCTTCAGTTCAGAACAATGATCCAAATCCAGAAGATCCTCCTCCTCTGAGTGCTGATAATGAAATACCTCCTCCATCTTACGACAGTTCGGTACCATTGTTGCAACCATCAGGTAAATATTAATTACAGATATAAGTCGTTAAAAAGTGACGATGTTTCCTTGAAATTGGAAAAATATGCAAAGCAAAAAGTTGATATCAGGCTGAAAACTAATAGAATTAATACAATGAAATATAATATACGAAATGGATTATGCATGTATGTGAAATAATTTATTTCTTTTGCTCACCTTGATACATGTTTAATACTATAGATTGTGTGTTCAATTATTTGTTTTTAGGTGTATCCTCGGCTCTCTGCACATCTTTAATTGTAGTGGAGAAAGAAGGAAGTTCTTTGCAACAAGCTGTTCCTTTCACTATTCCTGATCCTCCATATGGGTAAATATGACACAAAATGTTTGTTCATTTCTTGTCATGAAATTAACAGACGTTCTCATAGATACTACATTATTTTGTGTAAATATAAAGAATACTGACTTAGAGTAATGTGAGTAATATTACAATAAATTGTTACTCCAGTTTTTTGTTTGTATTTGGTAATGCATATCAACCCTTTGCAGTCCTTTCACTTTTCCGTTTTCTTCGTTTTGGGGTCCTGTGTCTCACGTCCCAGGACTTTTCTCCTCCTCGCCAGTCTCTTTTCCTGGTTCTGGTCCTTTGTCCTGTGGAGCGGGACTCTGTGTATTTCACCCAGGTAGATGGTACCTGTTACCAGTACAACTAATTCGCTCCAGCAGAGTTTAGACAATATTTTCCTTCATTGTAGCAAGATTTTGCCCATTTCTCTTTCTTTCAAATGAGTTTGATTTGTAGGCTTCAGTTGTACTTATGACATCGAGAAGTAAGTGTTTGAGATAGTCACTTCCTGAACTGAGTAAATCAGTAAACAATTCTTAATGGGAATAATTTTCAGAAAACTAAGAATTTGATTTCTTTACTCATGTGACCCTGAAGAATATGAAGAAACTGACAATAACTCTTGACTCCGTTGATTAAATGCAGTCTTCAGGCATTATTGGTAATAATGTGAAGCTCTCCGCTCCAAACACTTAACTTACATAGTTGTGTATTATGAACTAAGCAAATAAACTAAAATATTTTTTGGTAAGTAAACTAAAAATAGTTCAAAATTTGAGAACAGTTTCTTACACCATGGCGTGCCAGACTGGTGCAACCAAGTACCTGGGGATTTAAAGGGTCTCAAAAAAAAAAAAAAGCTGTATCTCGCCACACAGGACTAAAGACTGCAAAGGGTTAAAATGTATGACGAATGTTAGAGGTATTTCTTATTAGTTATTGAAGTTTACGTTTTATTTCATTTTTTTAAAATTTGAAAACAGATTTAAAAGAATCTAAATTTCTTTGTTCAATAAAGTATTGATTAACAAGAACTATTTACATACATTTGTAATCATTTCTTCAATTTCTGTGTTAAAAAAATGTTATTTATTTTGCAGAACTGGTGGACTGATAGAATTTGAAAATGAAGCTCAAGGTATGTTCTTATGAAATTAACATTTTTTTTTCTTTTAACGAATGTTTAATAGTATTTATAAATTGATTTTGCATATTTTTGGCTGCGTTGATGATGAAACATTGAACATTTGTATGAATATTGAATGGACTTCAGTAAACTATTTTTCAAAAATAGTGTGTTTGCCTTACATTTAAAACTATATCTGGGGAGTATAATTAGTATGCTAATTAGCATAAAATGTATGTGGTGTTGACTTGTCAACTTTTTGAAGTGAAGAAAATTGTTAATTATCATTTAGTTTTTTCCTCTGGATTTGAATTTTTTAAATTGTAAACAAATCCAGCAAATTATTCATGACTGGTTAGAAAAAGGCTGAATAACTGCTCTCCACTTTAGTGCTGATGACAGTGCATCAGTGATGCCTAATATATTACATTGAATAAAAATATTCTGTGATCGTAAATGTGCAAACATGCATATATATTTTGAGACATTGAATAAAAAACTATCATTTACTTTGCACTATTACTTTTCACTAATCATTTTTTTACATCAAAATAGAGTATATTAAAAGACCCCTATAATGAGAACATGTTGAAAATATTTAATCAGAAAATTGCATCCATGTAAAATGTTTTTAAATATCAGTGATCACCCTCTTACATGCTTACTACTGTTCAACTGTTGAAATACAAGAATCAGATGTTCAACAGATATACTTCATGGTATGGCTGTGCTGACAAACTAAAAATGTGCATTTCTTAATGTGTAAATTTGTTCACCTCTAACCAGTTAATAATCTAATTAATTGTCTAACCAACTGAAATGACATAACAATAAACATGCTACACTTTGCATTGATCATGCAGAATATTCTTTGTTCGATGGTGCTTTTAGAACTTCACAAAAATTCTGGAGGAGCTAGGAATCAAACTAATTTTCCAAGTGTCTCACCAGAACTTTAGCCATTGAACAATAATTACTTGTGAAAGGTGTCCATTTAGTTTGCTTAAACGGAACTTTAACCAGAAAATTGCCTAATTAATTGTAACAAGCTGAAATTACACAACATTAAACATGATAAAAAACATGCCAATTGGCTATTCCAAAATCATGTGCATTCTGCTAAGCTTTGGGTGATCTACAAAAACCAGGACTAAAAATGTCAAAACTGACTGGACTTCGGAGCTAAAACACAATTTTAAATGTCATGCTCCACTTGACATAAGTCAAAAAGGTTAAATTCACCTCTATTTTTGTGAATTTAGTGAATTTGCATAAGTTCACATTGTAGAGTGGAATTTTTAATATGGTTTTTATAAAAGCGGTCCATGATACAGAATTTTTAACATCATTTTTTCCAATCAGTGTAAAGCTCAACTGCTTTAATTTAGCAGCAACATAAAAATTTCTCATTTGTTTCTCAGTGTAATTATCTTTGTTATGTGTGTCATTCAGTTACGGCTATTTTTTTATTCTATAGATTCAGAAGCAGAGGATATCCACCAACTTCAAGACAGTGATGCGAGTGATGACAACGAAGCTCCTAGAGCTATATCACCACCCCAGTTAGAAGATGAAGACACAATGCCTAGTGACTGGGTACCATTCAGAGAGTCCACTGCTGTGACTGAAGAAGCATCTTTTGAAGAACGTAGTTCAGTTGCTAGTTCCCTTTCTGACATAAGTGAAGGGGCCGCGTCACCTTCTGCTGGCCAGGAAGTTTTGAATGACTCAGGTGTATCAGCCTCGTGCAGTCATCAATCAGACTTATCTTTTGCACATGGAGTTGAAGGACTTGATATCTTGAGCAGCAGCCAAGATTCCACTGCCAATAGTATTCACTCTGCCTTGCAACGTCGGCGCTCCGAAGAAGATCTCAGCTTAGCAGATAGGAAGAGGCAGCGGCGTGATTCAGGATCCTCATCTATGATATCTGTGGAGACCTATAGAGAAAAGGCTTAAATTCATTCTTTTATCACCCTTTTTTAAAAATTCATTTTAGAAGTAAATTGTTCAAAATTATATTTAAGTAATATATCTGTAGGCCTTACTTTGTAAGTAGTTGTTTCAGTATGTCTTATGAATTAAGTCATTTATAATCATAATTAGGGGGCGGATTTTGATGACCCAAACATCATCAAAACTGATCAATAAAATGTTCATAAAATGTTTTTAAAATGCTCCAAAAGCAAAGAAAAGTGAGGTAAAAAAATGTGATCAAAACCATTTTTAATGAACTGACTAAAGCTAGTTGATATGTTACTGATGTAATCGAGGCTTCTTGTATTCATTCATGTGAACTCCGCTTTCAAACTTTTGGTTAGGGGTGTTCTTTACTGGAAAATTTTTGTCTTTGGTTATCCTGAAATTGCCTGAACTGCCATTTGGTATGGACAGACATCACAGGAACCTTAGATTACATATTCACAATGGCTGACATTACAACTTCTGAGCAAAGAAATGGAATAGGTTGCCAGGTATAGGTACTCAGGAATTCTGTGGAGAATATTTGTTGCAAATCGTAAATATAATTTGAAGCAAGTTCCATTAAAATGATGTTTAAATCTATTGATGTAATCTATTGATATAAATGATGTTTACATCAGTGAAAAATGCATTAAAAATTACGGAAAAATGGAAAAATTGACTTATTAGTTGAATTTGATGAAAAATGCATCATTTCCTTTTGTCATAACATAAAATGAATTTCTGAATTACACTGCATGTTTGTAATGTGAAAAGAAGAAAAACTTGTCATTTCGTTAAAATCCGTCCCCTAATAATTTTTATATTAACTATGACTTTTGTCATTTTGCAAGATCTGTTGGAATAACATCAAGTGTTCATTGCTCATCTCCACTGAAGTTTCCAAGAGAGAAGACAACTCTTGGTGATTTTTATATTTCCGTATTAAAAAGTTCTTACTCTAATAAGTTGTTTTGTAGTTTATGTCAAACTTCTAGCTCTCTTTTTTCTTAAGGTATAGTTAAATTGCTTCTTGTTAGATGAATTTCATGAAGAAGATTAAATCTACAGTGTTTCTCAAACATAAATTGTGTGTGTTTAATGTGTGAAGTGTGAAAATGTGATTTGAACTGTTATGAAGATTGTTATTTTAAAATATGAAATATTATTGCTTTTGTGAGAAAAGTGATTAATTTGTCAGAAATATTTTTGTGGACAAAATTTATTAAACATCACTGTTAGTGTTCCTAATCTGTGATTATTTCTTTTCCTAAGTTTGTTTTTTAAAATTTCATTATAGTCATGTTTTGTCAAGTATAGTTAACAATCTCACGTATCATGGATAATAAATTACTTGCTTTTAAATAATTACTTGCTTTGTGATGCGTGATGAAATTTTATATTTATAATTCTTTGGCTGAAAGCTATTGAAGTAAAATGGATGCTGCTGTAGTGAAGTACAGTTTAATATTAATTGAGGAATTTGGTGTTCTGGTAGAACATGTTTACAATATTTTATCTGGTATGCTTGAAGGAAGCTGAAATGAACAACAGTCAACTGGAAGCGAAGTAAATATGCTACAAAAATAAAATGTATAGTCCAGGTTGGTAGACTATTTACCTCATTATATTTTGTGTGTTTGTAATTTACACAACACTGTTTGGCTGAGAATGTATAGACTTGTGTTTTGAATGGGGTGGAAAATGATGACAATCAGTATTGCAACTTTATTTAAGGATTCATTAATTCTTATCTATTCTAAAGTTAAAATTGTTAATTTAGGTATTCTGTAACTTGTATATAATTTTCTATAATATATTTAGATGGTATACGTCATGGGCATCATCTGTGTTGTACTTTAAACCCAACTATGTATTAATGTCAGGAAGTTCTTCATCCTTTATTTGATATAAGTTTCTTTGGTAAAGTTAAACTTTGTTTTGGACAGAACGATGTAAATTTATCTTGTTTCCAATTATTGAAAAGTTAGCAATTGTATAGCTCTTTCTCTGCCTAGTATGTTGTGAAGATGTATTATTTTGTATCAAATGGGTAACCATCGTTTTTATGAAACTAGAAAAAATTGCAGTATGGACAGAATTATTCATTGAAACCGTGAGATTTTAAAGGGGAAAGATAGACTAAAGTTATTGACTGGCATAATTGACCAACGTTTTTCTGTTTAGTGTTTCTGGTTACAAATTATTTGTGCAGAATTTAGCAAATGAAAGTATTAATTCAGTCATGTAATTGTTTGATTAATAGAATAGGTAAATAAAAACATAGATGTTTAACCTGTGTTATAAAATTTTGAATGCAGTAGCGGCTTATGAACAAAGGTTCAAGGTAGGCAAAACAGATTACTGAATAGTGGGGGATCCTAGGAAGGGAACATGGGGCCATGCCCTTCTTCAATTCAGTTGTATTGTAATTTTATTGAAAACAATTTGCTCACTGATAATTATTAAAATTCTTGTCTATCATCCTTATTTTACAAGGAAAATTATTTTGGCTTCTCAATTTGATGAACGATTCTTGAATAAACTATTGCAGTTATTATCCATTCATTAACGTTCCATCAAAGTCACATTTTAAGGCTCAGTTTGCCCCAACATCAGGCTAGAAACACGAGATGATGGTACATATTGAGCCTCAAAACATCGCTTTTTTGAAATGTTAGTGAATGAATATTAACTGCAATAGTTTATTCAAGAATCTGTTGAGTGAATGGCCAAAATAATTTTCCTTGTTAATTTTCTCACTGATATTTCATTCCAAAGTATTGTTTCGAAGGTGACACAGACATGATTTCTAGATATTCAGATTTTAAAAAAATTGTTGCCGATTTGTATTGCTGTGACAAAAATTCAGAAATCTGATTCAATTTTTTTCCAGGCATTTAAGATTCACTGAATTACATATGTGATCTTTTGACATCTCATGTTTTTGTATAATTTTAAAAAAAAAATTTCATGTCAAAATATCCATCTCAATTTCAAGTAGTAGTAGTTTTTGCACAATTTAAGCATAAAGTATAGGCAATTTATAATTTTTTTCTCAAAAATGGCACCAAATTTTTTCTGTGGTAGAGCAAGGGATGCTTAAAAAATGTCAAGGAATGTTATAATGGAATTTATTCTTAAAAGTAGATATTTGAGTGTGGCTTTGTTATGTTTACCTTTTTGTTATGTTACTTTTTTAAACTAGTAGTGTTCTTGCATTAAATTTTCCCTTTAAATAGTTTGATCTCATGGAGTAAACTTCAGTTATAAATGTGGTATAAGTCTAGTTTTAAATAACACCCATTGCATTCTGAAATTTTGAAAATTGCAAAAGTTCAAAACTGTTTATTGAGCCTATGCAACACCTTCAATCTTTAAGCTGAATATGACTTTCTTAATGCCATCTATTCCTCAATATTAGTTCTTTAAATCATTTTATGGAGGATTTTTGCAAAATAGTATTTTTGTCTAATTTTGAATTCATGACAATTTTCTATCTTCTGTGTTACAATTCCTGTGGCATTAAGAATTCTATGTTGCAGCAGAAGTATAATATAAAGTGTAAGTACATACTATGTATGTAACATCATCACTTTTGGCTTTGGAAATGTAAAAGCTTGAGTACAAGTTTGGAGCACATACTTCTTAACTTTCTAAATTTGTTTATGAGAAGAAAATACATACACTGAATTCAATGGCAGATGGAAAAATGCCTTTAGAACACTGAAGTATTTTGTTTAAAAATTAAGAATAAAAAAATTAATTGTACGTAATTTTAAGGTGATATTGGTAGGTTACAAGTTGCAATATTATGAGGTAATGTTTGTAATTTCCTGTCATTATAAATTAATTTAGAAAGTATGTTGTAGCTCCAGTAGTTTCTTCAGAATTCCTTTTTTGTGAAGTGTTGATAAAGGAAAATGCCTTGAGAAAACTGAAGTATTTTGATCACAAAAAACATTTTTTTAAATTTGATAGCTTCCAAATTTGCTTTTAGAATATTTACAGCAATGTTCTTATTTAATAAAGCTGTCGGCAGAGTCTGTGCACATAGAAATTCTAGCAACCATTTCATGACACTGAGTGACTAGTGACATGAAATAAAACTACTTGCTCAAAGACTTTGAACAAACTCATAAAAATTTAAACATATCTTTAATGTGGCCTAAAGTGTTTTGATGATGCTTCATGTTGTCAGTATTTTTCACATAACTTCTCCTGGCCCCTGGGTGACATCAATGATCCTTACATGGCCACTTGCTGCGTTATGGGATTGTAAATGATATCAATGTACTTTACCAACTGGAGTTATGCAAAGTCTAATTTACAAAATTGAGACCAAGTTTTATAGTGAGAGTTATTAGATCACAAGTTCTAACAATCTATTGTCAAGTATTCATAACGATAAGTCAGTTTCATAATAAGTATTGTCAGAACCGTGTTCCATGGCCTCTGTGAATTATTATCAACATCAGTCTGCCGTTTCATAGGATGAATAGTCAAATTTTAACGAAACTTATAGTTCATTGAAAGTTTTATAAAGTGGATAAAATGTACATTGTATGACATTTGCATCGTAACATCTTTTTACAAACTTTTGGTTTTCAAATGAGTCCTAATGATCTTTTCTGGTAATTTTTAAATGTTGTATTGTAATTAGATGTCTTATGATACTTATTTCAAAAATATTTATTAGTTCTTCTTGTAATAATAGGCCTACTTGTATTAATAAACCGTGATGTTAAATCTTGTTCTTGCAAAAGGCAAATATATGCGAGTATGTGGAAGGGTCTAAACGGTACAGAAGTAATATTTTGGTTAATATATATAAAATGTTTAGTCATGATTTCATAATGTGTTTAACACATCATTAGAACTATTTCTCATCAATGTTTCAATGCTCATTGTGATCTTTGCAGTTAATAACTCAGTAATTCATCTTTCTATTAAATTATTTTTATGGAATGTTTGTAGAAACCTTTTTTTTTTTTCTTAGTAAATTTATCCTACTGTATTTGTTGTTTCAAACCAAGCTTGTTTATCAATTACTGGTCATAAATGCTATTTGTGTTGTGGAACCTAAAATATACAATATATTGTATATTTGCACATCAGTGAAATACTTGTTTCCATATTGACATACTTATTTTTACATTTTAAAGTTAGGTTTCTTACAATTCTGGCTTTAAAATTTTTAGATGTATAAGGATCAACCATTTCCAACTGGCTGACTCAACCTATTTAATGTACGTTTTGTCTTTGACTTGAAGAAAAGTATCAGAGATAGTGAATACCAATGGCAAGACAATAATTTGTAGTGTTCAGTGTCATTTTAATAAGCCACTAATAAATTTATCACTTCAATTTGATTGAGCCCCAACAAAGTTTGTAAACTTTGTGCATTAAAAGCCATTTTCTATGAAAATTTATGATTTCTAATTTCCATTATGTTGTAATGTCAATACTCTCCAAAGTTTGATGATTAGATGTGATGGGATAGTTCTGATTAAACAAACCAAGGCTGATCAGTGAGCTTGCTCTGTTGTATTTGATTATATTTCTTGGAGCAGGGTGGCAACACAGAGCATCCAGTTGGGAACAGAACAATGTGAAGCTGCTTGCCAGTTGAAAATGTGTTGTTCAATTTTATTGTTTTTGATGTATTAGATGTCTGTTTCCATTATTTTTACTTATATTGTTACAATTTGTAACATTTCATTTCTGCATTTTATTTAAATCATTATTTATCTGCTTCATTTATTGCTTTTGATTTGACGCCACAAAGGTTGGCCTCATCATGACTGAGAACTTACATTAATGAGAAAATAAACATTTATTTTTATTGATTCTATTATGATCATGAAGACATTAGCAGGGCCAAATAAAAATAATTAATATTTTGAAATTTAATGTGAAAAGCATTTGCTTATAAAATAGTAGTAATGCATATATTTTATTTGTCATTGAATTTTATTTTAGATATACAAAGAACTTTGTGTTCTGCTTATAAGTGAGGTTTGCCAAAACATGTGAAATTTAAGGACTGCAGAATTTCAGCAAATTCTATTTGGAGGTTATATACATTCACAATGGGTTTTATTTTACATGGCAGTCTTGCCTGGTTTTGAAGATAAATCGAAAACACAATACACTCATTTCTTATTGTGAGATTAAATGTCAGATTTGGTAATATGAATAAAGCTAGCCATTAAATTAAGCTTCATAACCCATTGTAATTTAATAAATCATTTCAATTTATAAAAAAAAATTAACATAAAACTGTAAGTGTGCTATTGCTGGATAGGAAATAACTCCACTTAAATCCAGGTTTTGAAATTTACATTATTCATTTGTGTCGTTCAAAGGGAATCAATTAAAGGGTTTACGTTGTTTTGTCTATTTACAACAAACAATATACAAATGAGAGTAGATTGACTTTTTATCTTGCCTATAGATGTTAATTGTCATTTGGAGGAGGGAAAAAAAAACAAGAAACTACAAAGTTTTACTATACATTTCTACTTGTGCAACCTCTAAATAGTAATAAAATGCTGAAATTTTTGTACAATCTGTATTGTTTAAGTTTTAAAACGTTCCCAATAATTTCACAGTTTTAAAGGTTAATTGAGTCAGTATTTTCAGCCATAAATTACAAGGTTTGTCACAATATGAATTAGTAACATTGTACTGAGTAAAATTTGTTTCCAAACGAAGTTAGGGATAGGTGCATCGATAAGAGATCATTTGTGTACCTGAAATGTGGCATGAATGGCTACTTTTGTCTGTAGTCTTTTACTGTATAAAGTCATTTTTTTCTTCTTTTTTGTTGTAACCTAT